TAGAATAGAATAGAATAGAATAGAATAGAATAGAATAGAATAGAATAGAATTCTTTATTGGCCAAGTGTGATTTTACACACAAGAAATTTATCTTAGTGCAAATGCTCTCAGTGTACATAAAAGAAAAGATACGTTCATCAAGAGTCAAGAATCATAAGGTAAAACCCTTAATAATGTCATAGGGCATAATAAACAATCAAACATACTAGGAAACAGTCAATATAAATTGTAAGGATACAAGCGACAAAGTTACAGTCATACAATCACAAGTGGGAGAAGATGGGTGATAAGGAGTGATGAGAAGGTGAAATGGGGGGGGGGGGCAAAGTACCTTTGGGTTTGTTGCTAGGTCTGTTTCATTATTGACAGAATAATCCTTTTTATTAAATTTATTTTATTATTAGAAAGGTACTTCTGATTTTGGGTGTTTATACCTAGTTATACTCTATGTGTATGATCTCAATGGTAAAATATTCAGAACCTGAAAAAGGTCCAAGGGGAAAATGGAACAAAGGTAATTCTTTAATTTAGCACATATCTAATGATAGAGCTACATGATGATAGTATGAACATATCAACTCAGTCTGCATTTTCACACTATTAGCATGTTTTTCTGCATTTTTTGCAAAAAATCCTGTTTGAATGCTACCTGATAATGCAGCAATATACATTTAAATAATAATTTTAAACCTAATAATTATACTGCTTTAAATTAAAAGATTCATTTTTTAAAATAAAATAATCATTTAAATTTATACAGGAAAATAGTGTTTACCGGTCTTATAAACTGCATGTTGATTTCCCTTTATTTACCAGGCATGCCTGTATAAAATTCCAAATACCAGCCATAGAAAATACTATGCAGAGTAAGATTTTGCCATAAACTGATAATTCAGAAATGTCTCAAATATTCATTCTATTATTTAATATATGTTAAATTGATTAACAGAACAAAGGTATGTGTATTTTTAAAAGTACTGATATATGTATTGTATGGATATGCCTGATTCAGAAACCTGTTCCACACAAAAAGAAATGCTTAAGGAAAGAACACTGACAATTTGTAATATTATTAATTTTAAATTATTAATTTTATCCCAGTGTACAGTGGCACACACACACACACACACACACACACACACACACACGGATTAAGTAATTCGATTCTCAAAGTTTACAAACATCTTATCATTTATGACAGTGCAAATAACACAAATCTTTTCATCATTACATTAACTTACATTACAAATATGAGATGATTCATTCTAAGGCAGCTCAATGTTATTAAGCTGTGGTAAATCTGGTTTGGTGAGCAATAGCTGCCTGGTTAAAAATATAGACATAGCTTTTGGTTGGCTATAAGGGCACCATTTATTTTTTTCCTTGCATATTTAATTTATAGCCCAGGTTCTTTGGTTCTGGAACATGATTCTCCATAATTAAGTCTATATGGATAAATACATACCATTGATAAAGTTGATCTTTAATTTAGCAGATCAAAATAAAGGCGCTGCAGTGTAAATTCTGTCTATTTCCTCACTTAGGTTTTTAATTAAAATTCTACCCCATATCATCTTCATCTTACTGAAGTTCTTAGATTGTCTAATTCTTTCTCTGATGCAGAGATGAGATTTATAGCTCAAAGAAAACCACAAGCTGCAGAGTTCATTTTGCTGTCAAAAAGGTAGAATTCCATTTGACATAAGTGAAGTTGCTATTAGTTCCTGTGATAGTTAAGATCAATAAACTGCTGTCTTATTGAGCCTACTGCACTGCAAAAAAAAAAAATTGGACCATTTAGACATATTGCCATTCTTGACACATCGTAGAAAGTATTAGATTAAATCCTTGTTGCAGGCATTTAAATGTAAACATCATCCAAACAAAGGCTGAATCTTCAAATACTAGATTCCTAGGAAGAATAGAAAAAAATAAAAAGGAAGCCCCAAACCAATCAATACACCTTAATTTATTCATAATCCCCTTTTAAATTCTTGTTGCTGGAGTTGAAAGGCCACTTGAGTTCCATTCAGAATTATTTCCTTCCTTTTTCTGTCATTACAAAGCTTTCTCTAATGAGCTCAGATTATTATTCAGTCTTAATCACCATTAAATGTATTATTTTAAATGTAACATTTACTGCTACTTTGGATCAAGACTTGATATAGTAAGCCACTCAAATTAATTGACATCTAAAGAGCTACATTCAAACTACACTGAAATGTTCTTAAATGCATTTATATTAAGCGCAAACATTATTTTGATTTCTTCCGCTTTAGATAGTGGCAAAAAAAAAATTGTGAACTAAACTTTTTTCAATATATTCTCATATTTGTTTAACTATTCCTTGTTTTCTCACTAGGAATCCAAAACAAGTATATATGTAAAATAAGCCAGTAGTTGCTTAGATATACTATACTTAATAAATTGTTTGAGGTCCTTATATCTCTATAATACCAGATGGCAATCTTAGAGTAATCTAGTATATAAGTATAAGTAGTATAGGTTGTAAATGAGCTGATACAGACATGGAAGGGAATCTGTTCTTGTGTATGTCAGCATTTAACTCCACCAAAAAGTGTAATGATAGAAAATAATTAATTTTCAACAGCTGTGAAACTGAATGCTATTCCTGTATTATATTTCCCATGCAGTGATGGGATTCAAAAAAATTTACTATCAGTTCTGTGGGCATGGCTTGGTGGGCATGAGATGGCTTGGTGGACATGGCAAGAGAAGGATACCGCAAAATCCCCATTCCCTCCCCACCCTACTAACCTGCTTTCCAGCTCTGTTCTCCTGTGCAGGGCAACAAAGAAGACCCAGCCAATCAGCTGGGACTTGTGAGGCAGAGAATAGATGGAGACGGGGCCAATCAGAAGTGGTATTTGCCAGTTCTCCGAACTACTCAAAATTTATGCTACCAGTTCTCCAGAACTGGTCAGAAGCTGCTGAACACCATCTTTGTTCCCATGTAAAATTATATTGGGATAGGCCACTGGGCCATACAATGTCCCTTACAAAAGGATATTATAAGAAGTATGTAAGAGTTTGCATCTATTATGCTCAAGAAAAGATTTCTTCTCATCAGGTTGTAAGTTATAGAAGCAAGATTAAATTTGAGCTTTTCCTGTGATGATCCAATTACTATCAAGTAAGTTTCCCAAAAGTTTGCACATTGATCTTTCAGTACTCACTTTTTAGGTAACTGTCAAAATTCTTTATATCCAAGGCATCCAACTTTAAAAGATTTATGTATCCCATGGTCCAAGGATGGCATGGTGTCCCCAAACCTTTTCACAGCCATGAACATAGACCATAGTACTAATATACAGTGTCCAGGTACCAAATTGTAGAGGTACAAATTCCAGGTGTTTTTCCAGTTTATACAATACTAATCATACACAACACTCAGCCCTAAATGTATGAACTATTACTTTTTAAAAAAAAATACAGTAAAATTGCCTTCAAGTTAAAAGTAATATGGACACATCCATGTATTAATTATCTTTAAATAGAATTGGTTCTTACCATCATGATTGGGATTTCCCAAAGTCCATGGCTCATCTGAGTCAAAATGAGTATCACCTCCAATTCCTGGCCCAGGAAAATAAGCATGAGCCAAAAATCCTCCTTCCCCATCGAATGGAGAACTGTCTCCATGAAAACCTGATGCAAAAATTATAGTAATATCCACGTCTTTCTTGCCATTCTCCAGTTCTACGTAAGGAACTTCCTCAAATGTCAGAGGCGTTACATTCTGCCACACATCGAAGGCACGGCGAATAGCTTTACGGGTTTCAGCATCTCCTACTTTTGGAGTGACATTCTTTATGCTGCACCAAAAAAAAAAAAAAATCAGACAAGGAGTAAACATAGATGTCACCTTATCAAAAGGACCACACATGTCACTCTTAACTGCACATGATATCAACCATTTTGATGTAGTGGGGACTGAGCAACAATTCTTAAAACTATATCAAGTATTTGTGATATTGGAAGTAGTTCATATGTAACTGTCAGGTGAGGCTCCATTCAAAATCCAAGAAAGAAAACCTTAAGACTCCATTGCTATAGAGAAAAGGACTTTTACTGGAAATTAAAGTGGTAGTATCAAAAGAATTCAATATCTGAGGCATTAGGTACGAAAATCACATATACAAAGTGATGGTAACATTCCCACCCACAATAGTTCAAACTGGTCATCCAATCTGAGATGTGTATTTTGTCATGTGGGGCATTTTCAGGTGCTGTTTCAGACATTTGGCTCACCAGGACGGTTGACCTTGGCCTAATTTGATAAGAAGCTACCACTGCACAATAAACAAGTAAGCATAGTCAAGAAAGTTTTCCCAAGATTTACAATTTACCATCTCAAGCTTCCAGCATTCTTCCTTCTCCACACAAAGCCAAATTAATTTTCCCTCCCTCCTATTTCTATGGCAGCCAAAAAAGACAAGCAGAAGAAGGATTCTTGAAGGCTGACAGTAATAATATAACAACTCCACAAAGTAATTGCTTATTAAAGTTCATTACTACTGATTGGTGACACTGAGGTCAGTTTACATTGGCAATTTATTTTGTATTAAATATCATTTTTTGTTGATATATTACATTATTAGTAACTCAAAAAGTCATTGTGTACATGAGTCCTTCTTAATTTGATGTACTTTAGATGTGCAAACTGTACAATCCAGCATGTAAGTCAATATTATCTGGAATTGACTTGGTTGAGTGAACCTTCCAGCCAAAAGTCAAAAGGGAGGAAAAGCTGTTGAGAAAAGAGGTCTGTGTAGCAAGAAAAAAACAAGCCAGAAAAAAATCCCATCCACAACATAGTTTCATTCTTTCAGTTTTGTACACATTATAAATAGTGCCTAAAGGCTTAGCAGTACTCTGTCCAAAACCATTGCCACTTGTAGACAATGGCAATACAGACCATACTAATCACACACAAATACCCAAAGATATAGAAAAGATATTTAAATCAAATTTATTCTTGTGCCCAAGATGAATAGTCGGCTAATATACTTTGTAAAGATGTGACAAATAAATATGTAACTAATTCTATATTTAAAAGAAAATGTCCCAATGCAATGCTCTATAACATTTAACTTTTCTCTGAATGAGATCTTTTTTGTCTGATTGGAAAATATTCATGAACAAAAACTTCTGATGATTCATTTAGAAACATTATAAACTATACTTGATTAATGGCACCACATATTTCCTAAAGCTAGACCTCTTATATTTGTATTTTTTGTTTTAAATTAGCCATATTTCGGGTATCCATATACAATAGCTTCTCAAATGTGTTGCTACTGAAGCACTTAAACCCACTGATGTTCTCCATGAAAGGTCAGAGATTATATCAGTGACTATTAAGATATGTTGCTACGTGATATCTAATTGGGAGCTGACTCTTTTAAAGAAAGGAGAAATGGGAACATTCAGTTCAGTTTTCAGAAGTGAAATTAAGCTGAAATACAGTAAGCCTTTGAGTAATGAAATAATATAGGCTTTCTTCGGAAAACCAACTAACAGGATTTAAGACAGTAGGGTTATTTGAAAACTTTGCTTCAATGGATAGATGACTAGGCAAAGACTTACTCCTCCCTGTAATCTTGAAAAATTACTGCCAATCAGTGTTTAATAATATTGGGCTACCAGAAGTATGATGGGTCTGCTTTTTTGAGATCAACTCAGCATTGATCCATTTAGGAATAGGAATTTACCAACCAGCTTACCGCCAAAGTTTGATCTTGTTGATTGAGAGAGAGTGACTGGCCCAATCGCTTTTCATGGCTAAGGTAGAACTAAACCTCAGTCTCCTGATCTCTAGCCTGTCTAATTTCTTTACCCACCCATTTCCACATGCAATTTATTTGATCTAAAGGCCATGACATGAATTTAAATGACTCTTATCCTACTGACATTTTGAAGGGTCCCAAAGACCTGGCTTTTTGTCTAGGCCTTTGGCAAAGACAATTGACATCCCTTTCTTTTCTTTCCCCACTACTGTTGCTCTTTTATCTTGTGTTGCTCTTGAATTTTGTATTATTCTAGGTTTTTAATTTTTTTAAAAAAATGGTAACAATGGTTAACAAATGCTACAATTGGGAATCACTGGAAGTCAGGCAGCATATAAATTTAATAAATAATAATAACCCCAGATCCTTGGGAAGGACTTGATAAGTGGATAAAACTGACAAATCTAGTTTAAACAGTTTGCTGACAGTGCAACAAACAAATAGACAGCAAAAGAAAGAAAAAAAAAGAGCTAGAGAAGATAATAAAATGCAAAAACCTGCAAATAGAAGTAGAACAACCGTGGCAAAAGAAAGCAAAGATAGCACCAATAGTGGTAGGTGCAATATGTTTATGGAGATTCTCAATCATAGTTGAACAATAGGAAACAAGATTCAGCAGTTCATCTGCATTTAAAAGATAAATGCTACACTTTTGAAGACAGCAAAGACCACATTTTGGGCAGAGAGGACTGTTGATTTGAAAGAGGTGTCAATGAGGCCAGTTATGTAAAAATTTTACAGCCTTTTTTCAACAGAGAGATCAGTGGTGGTATGCTACCAGTTCGGCCCAGTTTGACTGAACCGATAGTAAAAAAAAAATAAAAAGACAACTGAGAGGATAAAAGACCGAAAAGTGCATGGGAGAGTGGGAGGGTTGCTCCTAGCTTTTAATTTCTTCATCCTCTCAGCTGATTGGCTTGTTAGGAGTGCATGCATTAGGGGGATGTACATGCGCATGCATGATCACCCACCGAGCCAGTAATGACTAAAGTAGGATCCCACTATTGAGAGAGATAACACATCATCTATCTCCAGTCTACATCACAGTCCTTTCAGCAGTTCCGAAAAGGCTCCACATCCATTTGCACTACTCAGATGAGCCTGATAACACAGTTAAACCTCCAGGTGGCCTCAATGACTCTCTAAAAGAATGCAAATGATCAGCTGTCTGCAAAGAGTATAAATACTTCCATTCCCTACCATCCAGTCAGAACTGAAGATAACAATAGCTTGGATAAGAAGCAAAATGACTTCAAAGAAAAACAAGAAAGTCCACTTTCTTTTGAAAAGGCACCTTTGGGACTTGGATGCAATAGAAAAACAGCTGGAGAAGAACTTGAACACACTGGCATCCACAAAATCAATATCAGTCAATTACAAAAGACAGCTGGAACGCCTAACATCCTGTGATGATCCTTGTAACATCACCAAACAATAACATCTGCCTATCCAAGGCTCAACAGGTGGATAAAAATTCCAAATCCCAAATATCTAAATATCTGGCTGATTGTGTGACCAACCATAATAATTGATTGTTCTAAAATCAAGAACCAAGTTACTTCTTGAGTAGCTGAAAGGCATTTATATGTAAATACCACTTTAGGAAGATAGCAGTATTAATAAAGCTAAACTGGCAGAAAGAAAGGATTCCAAAAATGTACACTTGGTGATCCTTCTATACATTTTAAAAAATTTTAAAACTAAAAATTATATCCTTGAAAAGACATTTTATGGGGAAGGGGAGGTGACATTTTGATAGATGAACTCTAACAATAATAATGCAAGAGAACAATTTTAAGCATATATACAGTTTTGTATGATGGATGAGTCTGCCTTGTTGATGATAGGTATAAGGAAAGCTGAATGGGTGAAATGTTCAGTTTCAATAAACAGGTAAATTGTTAAATAGCTCCTTTTTGTCAGTGATGCCCTTTTGTCTGAAATGGAGCTGTTCATGGACATCCTCAGTCATCTATTTAATCTGTTGGAAGAAATAGCAGCTTGTGACAACAAGCGCCATTTTTAATTTGCTAAGAGCTTTAAGCACTTGAACACTATAGCCATTTCTAGGTTACAATAAGATTTCCGTCGTGGCAGACAAATAACAAAATAACAAAATGTTGCTATTATATAGTTTGTACAAACAGCAAGTAACATTCCAGAAAGCTATTCATTATTTATATGAATTACTGACTATATATGGATGATCTCTCCCACACACAAACATACGCAATTGTCTGCCTTACCAACTATTTCCAAACAATCACATATAGCAGGGGTCCCAAACTCCCAGTCCATGGACCAAAACAGGTCTGTGGCATGCCAGGAATCCCATCAGTGGTATGCAGGCAGCACTCAAAACCATATCCAGTCCAGTCCATGGAAAAACTTTTCTCCATGGAACTAGTTGCTGGTGTCCAAAGGATTGGAGCCAGAGACATAATAGACCATAAAAATGGTATGTCCATCTCCTGCCTTTCCCCGCACAACACTATTTCACTGTTGTTCTTAATCCATCAGAATATACATAATGAAGAAATTCACATATCCAAAAGCTATGGCCAAAGCTTAACAGCCTATATACACTAGGATATTGGATATTTATACTGTAATATAAATCAACATTTTATAATATTAGTAATTATATTATAGTTGGGATTTTCTCTCTGTGTGTTTGTGTGTGTGTTGCATTAGAAAATCAAAACCATCAAACAGCAACGCTGTTTGATGCAGCTGCTGTTTTTAACATAATTTCTAGCCATTTTGGTAATCCAATATAGATGGAGGATAGCAGTTGGGATGTAAGCACTGTGTGTTTACATGATATGAAAACTGAGTGTATTCTTATATATTTAACTACTAGCTCAATACACATGCTTTGCTGCAAAACTATGTGGTCTGGCTTAGTCTGGGGGGAGGAAAATAAGGGAGAAAAAAATCTGCCTCTGCCTACCAGCATCCATAGGTATTCATCTGACTAGCATCCTGTCAGTGTGTGAGAGAGTTGAGGGCTGTTTGGAAACTGA